AAATAATCACTGAATTCTGTACAGAATTGAGTAAGAAATAGTCTATTTTTTTTGTTTTTGTTTACTTTTGTGACAAAAAATAATGAATCATCAAGTGTGACAATACTTATGAAAAAGGCAGTAATATAAGTCTCTTATACTTATTTAACTCTTAAAATATTTTCTTTTTTATTAAATCTATTAATTTTTTCTTAATTTAATAATTAATCTAACTAATTTATAATAAATTCTACTAGTTTTATTATAAAACTTGTTTAATTTAAACTAGAACTTATTTAGTTTATTATAGAACTAACTAAAAACACATTTATAATTATAAAGAATATTCTAGTATAATAGTATTAAACTTTATATAAGTTACTTAATAATTTTATTTGTTTTTCTTATTATTATTTTGTTTATTCTATTACTAACTCTTTTAGTATTTAGGATTAAATATTAGAGAGTAAGTATAACAATTGTACTACTTGTACACCTGTACTATATGTATTATAAGTATATATAAGTATTTTCTTTTTATTTACTAAACTACTTTATATTCTACTACATATATATATATATATAGATATATAAAGAGTTTTTGAGTTAAAAGTTAAAGGATTCTTTCTCCTTCTTAGTACTTAATTTCTAAATCATTCTAAGTACACTAGTAAAGAGAGAATCTTTACTGTAAAGTTACAGTTATGTTGAAAAGTATTTGTCTTTCCTAAAAAGGTAGATACATTAGTAAGTGATTTGCCTTGACTTATTAAGAAATTAGAGACACAAGACAAAGGTTTGATGTGTCTCTAATTACTAAATAAGTCAATACAAATCACTTACTAATACTCTTCCTTTTCAGGAAAGACGAACACTTTTCAACATAGCTATAGTATACTTATCCTTACACTAAGGTACCTTCAATCTAAAGACACAACAGAGTCCTGGATCTTAACAAAACAGAGACACATGCACACATATAATTATATATAATCTATAATATGTACGGGACGTACACTCGACATCGCATTGCATCAATTATATCAAACAAAAAAAGAGTCCTGTCTCGAGAAACACAAAACGAAACGCTAAAAAGAATGTACAAAGAATCCGAAGAGAATAATAAGAACTCCAAAGCAAAAGTCAAAAAATCGATCACTTTAATCAAAGGCAGACGAACCCCAGGCAAGCACGTTAAGCGACGCGTTCCGGTGTCCCCAGTGAATAGAGCACGAAAACAAATCAGATTAAGAGGGAAAAAGAAAGAAGAACGAGGAAAAAACACGAAGAGAGAGTGAAGAGCCATAGGCAAAAAGGGACGGAACGACAAGGCGTTAAAAGTCAAATAGCAGCCGTCACAAACACATTCATACATGAAGGCATTAGAGTGGGGCGTCGCAAATCGTGAAACAGTAAAACGTGAGGTATCGTCGATAAGATGTGACGGAAGCAAAACCAATGGGTAGGGTATCGCAGCGCACCATACGCCTCCGCGTAGACTATACCCGCCAGCGAGTTATACTCGTGGATAAATTACTGTAACCAAAGGTGCAAAATATATATATCATGTCGTAGGAGTGGTGAACCAATTTGAGCACCTGAGTTGCCCTGAGCAGGGCGGAAAATCGAATTTTTTTGTATATTTCGGAAGCTAATCCCAGTCAACGTGAACGCTGCCAAGGAGTGGGCTAGCCTGCCCAATACCGCGTTCCGCCTCGCGACGAAGCCACTTCAGTGCGCGCTTGTCCTCGCGAATGAGAGGTTCGAGTATTTCCAAGCAACGCCGATTATGATCCTGTTGCATATGTCAGCCAATCCGTTTAAAATACCTGAAAAGTATAGACACAAACCTTGATCCAATTAATTTCGTCTCTCGACAACATAGCCTCCCGAACCATCTTCGTTTGGATTGGCACGACAGTCAGTCGCTCAAACCCGAGCCAGGTCTCGCCTTGCTTGCCATGTCTGGTCTGGACCAACAAATAAAAAAACAGGAATCTATGTTGACAATAATAAGCCGACTTACTTGAATTTTCTGCACCAGTAACGCTGACTCGATGCGCATGCCCCATTCCTTGTCCTTATCTGTTTATCGAGGTCAGCCTGGCTTGGAATCTCTCGAAGGAGAGCTCAATACATACAAAAGCCGGGTTCGTTAGTTATGACATGGCCGGGAACGAGTACCGTTTCGGAATTGAAGCTTTGTGGACCTTCATGGACATTTAGGAAGGAGCCAAAGCCGTGTCCAGTGCCATGCTATGGAGTGCGTATTAGCTAATCACGTAACACTAAGATGTGCCTTCTAATTCACCAAGTACTTGAGGCCTTCCTTCCATAGAGCATTGCGAGCAAGGACATCGAGTTGACGTCCACTTGTTCCTGCAGGAAAGATCGCACTATCGATCGCGATATGACCCTGAAGAACGCGAGTATAGGCCTCGCATTGGTCCATAGTCGGCCGACCAAAGTGTACAGTACGTGTACAGTCGATCGTGCCATCTCTATAATGAGCACCTGAGTCGCTATAAAGCCAAATTGAGCATTGACGAGAGTCAATATTAAAGATGCTACATACTTCAAGTATGGAGTATCTCGTTCGATGAATTTGGCACCAGATTTGGTCGGCTTATAGTGAGGAAGAGCGGCATTCGCTCCCGTCGCACTTATAGGGTCATACGACAAGCCCTCGTAGAATTCGTTCTTCCGACGGTACTCCGTCAGACGCTGAGCAGCCTCGTATTCAGTAATCTCGTATCCCTTCGCTAACTTATCCTCCAGCCACGCCAACCAGCGGACATAACTTGCGCCGTCCCGGATATGAGCCTCACGCATCCCACCGATCTCGATAGGGTTCTTAATAGCCTTCATTGAGTCCACGAAAGATGGAGACGGAACGATCGTATAACGGAAGTGCGTGAGTAATAGTGAAATCGCGTAACTTGTATCATCGCAGATGAGAACCTTGCCTGCTCCCCAGGGAGCACGGCGCAGGTGGGACCACACATCGTTGTACTCCCGTATCTCGACTTGCAATCCCTCAAGATGTCTGCGCACGTCGTCCTTTATCTTCGCAAGCTCCACGAAGAGTATAGTATTTTCAAGCCCTACGAAGAGGTATGCGTGAAAAACTGGACTGAATGGGATATCACGACCACGCAAGTTCAGCAGCCAAGCAATGTTTGCCAAGTCCGTCACGAGAGTCGCAACGTGCTTTTGCGCATCCGTCGGCGGGCCGGGCTTCGCGTAACTAGGTTTCGCGGGAGGTTGTTCCAAAATCCACTTCCGCAGCTCAGCTAATTTCGTACGAGGATCCTTTCCCGCAAAGCGCCGAGGTTGAATGAAAATCGGATCTTTCGGGCGCACAGGTTTGTTTTTCCAAACGAGGTCGACAAAGTTCTGCGACGGAAAGACCAGCTTAGCGCCGAGTCGTGCCACAGAACTGTTGAGGACAGAAGCATTAGACCAGCTAATCATGCGAGCGTCGAGGCCAATTCGATGACCTTCTTGCACTCGCTTCAGAAGAAACGATTGCCAATCCTGTTCTTGATCAGGTAGAGGTGCACGGATGAGATTCCAATTTCTATCGAGTTCGTTTTCCGCTTGCAACCAATAACGCGAGTCCGTGACGAGATAAGCACTGGTTTTTGAAACAATAGCTTGCCCAGCAGAGCCCGTAAATCTTAAACGAGAGATTATCAGCCACAATCATCGCATGGCGCAATATTAACAAAAAAACCCTTACCCAGAGATAAACTCTCGTCGTTTGTCAGTGTCAGCGACATATTCCGACCCGTGTGCGTCCTCGCTCGGTACGACGCTGCACAATTGCGAATATCGATATGTAAGCCCTAGTCAAAATTCGACGTTGTCAAAAACACTCACTAATAATCGAGATTTTCTTTTGCCATCAACGCTCGCAACTCAAGCAACCTCGGAGTTGTATCCACGGGAACTTTCGGCTCTTCGACATCGTTGATCTTGCGCTCCAATGCTGAGCCTACAAGCGTGCTTGTAGAATCAGTCGAATTCATTGTAGGACGGCGCTGTAAAAACTGGTTGCCATCTGACGTGCCAGTCCCGCCAGATCCGCCTGATACGGCAGTTCGACCTGATTGACCCGTTTGACGAGATGCACCGGATAACCCGGACCTTCCAGATCCTTTCGATGTCTGGGTGTTCGAGCGTTTGGGCGGTATTGAAGGTGGAGTACGAGCAGAAGACGTGCGCGGCGACTCATCCGGGATAGGCGACAACGGAGGACGGACAGGTCTTCCCTCCGGCGAGACCAGAGAAAGCTCAGAGGTAGCTGGGGAGCGATTTACATATGGTGACTCAGCACCAGAGCGCTGCGAGTCTCTGCGAAGGAGCATGCCTTTCTTTCCTGCCTCCTTCTCCCGCTGTTTGCCCAATCCCCACCCAAAACCCCATCCTAGCCTACGTGGTTGCGGAGGAGGAGGGGTCGAACTGCGCACGGAAGGCATATGCTTGTACGATTCTGTATCAGTTTTAAACGTGAGACTGTCTGCTTTGTTCGTCGCACTCGTGAAGGTTGCAGTCGACGAGTACGAGTCTTGGTGTGCCGGATCGGCCGAGCCGTCCGACATGGAGCGAGACAGCGAGTGAGAACGACTGGAATGAGGTGACTCTCCAGGTGGATACACATCCTGGGGTACATAGTAGGAGCTCTTCTCCGAGAATGTGCGCGATGGCGAGAGACGTCTTGGCTTGTCCTTGCTCTTGCCAAACGGCAGACAGAACGGAGGTGGAGGAGGTGGAGGGGGCGGTGGAGGCACCATGGCTAACACCAGTGGTGATGATGGACAGGGATGAAGAGTAGAGGTGGGCGTCCCCTAGCGGTCGGCCCTTGGGAGGTGGTCGTGGAAGTCAGGTCAGGAGAGAGCACACGAGGACGGGCGAGGAGGACGCAGAAGCTTTCCAGTGAGAACTTTTTCCGGCGATCGAATCCGGCGCAAAGTTTTCTGCTTAGTCATCTTGTGCAAGCGAATTCAATAGAATCACATCTCTCTCTCTCGATCCCCAGCACTTGCCTTGGTAGCCTTGGAGATGAATTGGACATGCTCTGCGTTAACTTGCTTTCTTTGAACATGCGAGGTGAAATAGCCAAGGGCTGTGGTGCTTTGTGCCATTCGGAGGAACTGATAAGTATAGATACCGGATCTGGGGTGAACAGGACGGGAAGGGGCGCAGTTCGCTCCGTGCCGCCGAGATGAAGAACACGAGTCCGGGGGAACCGTCCTAACCAGAAAGAGCATTGAGAACGGCGACACCTGCTAACTCTTGCGCAGCACCGAAAGGTAGCTTTTGACCAGTCACTGTCTCCGGTGATCTCTCGAGACAGCGAGAATTATCCAGGCAGTTGCTGAATGCGGATTGAGTACCCTTTCAGATTTCACTGTTAATCAATGGTCAGGATAAAGTTGCGATCAGCGCCAGAATGTCGCGGTTATGCTATAACCTTCGAGCAGCATTTACGAAGGGCTGTGCGCTTTAGGCATTGATCTCCAGGATATCAATAGAAGTGCTCACGTTGCTGCCAGGATTTGGTAAGGAGCGTGCACTATGGCTAGGCTCATTCCAATAATAATCGTCTGGTTTTTTTCCCCCGGTTGACAAGAACTAAACTGCACTCCAGATGACGGTGTCCCTCACGAAGGCCTCGCAGCCCCAGAGTGTCGTCCCACTGACGTTACGATGATGCAGCCATTGCAACTGTACTGAGGTTATTCATACAGTATTATGGCCCCAAAACACCGAGTTTCCACCACCATGTGTAGCTAGTGCTGGTGTGGCCTTGCTCGATTGTACAAAGGACTTTCCCGAAACAGAGGAACATAGCATATCGTTGAATTGTACACGAAGCGCATCCAGAAGATCGATATTCTAGAAGACTGGAGTCCCACATTAGTGTCATGAGTACTTGAGGAACCTGTTGCAAACGGCGAAGCATAGGAAATTGCCAGAGCTCTGCAGACGAACACAACATCTGCACGAACTTGTTTGCTATACGGGAAGAATCCGCATGGAGTGGTGAGACCAGTGTGATGTAAGTCTCCTTTCGCCAGAATTGGATGGAGAGTTAGAGAGTTATCTCCGACCTTGATGTTGATAAATAGGCAGTAGTTAGATAACACAGGTACGTTACTTCTATAGCGCAAATGCGTAACAGCAGAAATGTCAACGCGTCCGAGTACCATTGTTCAAGAGTCCCACACAAGTATGAGTCTAGATAATTACTGGGTGAATGGACCGTCTTTACAAAACCAGTTTGTTGTGCTCGCTATATGCGGTATTTAGGCTATCTAGCAGACTTAGAAAGCCTAGAACAGTGTTCCATGAGCTATAATAAGGCTTCATGAGCAGGAGCAGAATCAGTGAAGACAGCTTTGTGAGATGGTCGTCTGATGGATGAAAGACGGGGGTGTTGGTGCGGGTCAAAGGGGTCACTTTAACATATTTATGATCTCGTTAGGGTGTCCAAACATAAGGGCCGCGAAAGCAAAGACAACCGGCAGCACAAACGATGCATAGATGCAGGGAAGCTGAAGTTATAGAATGTAGACGGCCCGCACAAATCTAATTGAGGTGGACAAATAAAGGATACACAAACTGATTAATAGGGAAGTTGCTGAGCCATGGCGATTTCAGACGATTGCAAAGTCCATAGGCTGAGTGAACAACGCCAGTAGAACTCAACAGATAGGCCGAGTTGACCTGGCTTTCCCACTGCTTTTGTTTGTAATTAATCATGAGGTCCTGAGCGCCACCTCGATGATAGAGACTCATTGAGCAATCAAGTGGCGTAGCTTATTCTCCTAGGTCCTCAAGACTGCGATAGTGATAATAAAGCAGAGGATTCCAGACTCAGTAGCAGCATGCGCAGGAAGCTGAAATGAACGTTGAGGGGGAACGGCTGTGAGGCATGCTCTGAACACACGGACTCACGGAGTGCGTCTAAAATTGATCTAAGCGCCGTACAGCGCACGTGATTTAGAGCAGTCACCTATGACGAAAGCGGGGTAATTGCACCAAGTGATGCAAGTTCTTAGTTCATATCATTGCTTAAATACGAGTAAATAGGCAACGTGAGAGTCAATGTATGTGGCATGGGAATGGAAACGAAACAGACCGAATGGACGATTCTGGAAATTTCGATATGATATGCGCTGAGGAACAAGGAAACGAAATACATCACGCGAGCGATGCACTGGGTCACCCCAAGTGACGCAACGTCGTAACGCACTATAAAACCGTCTTGCTCCATCCGTTCTTCTCCAGTTCCTACTACCACGGTCATCTCTAGTCTATCCGTCAACTCAATCTCACTTCATCTCCAAGTATGACTCGCACACAGCGTGCATCCTCACCTCGTGCAATGAGGAAGGACAGGTGCGATTTGCGCAGCATTTATATTTGGATCGCGTGATCAATATCTCTTTGACAATGTCCACTTGTTTGTTTGTCAAATAGATCTCTGTCCAAGTCTGGTTATGACAAGTCTCTCCGCAAGGACGGCGCGGGGCGACACAACTGGGGTTCCGTTGAAGACGAGCAGGACCTTGAGCGCGAAGCGCTGGAGGATGCTGAGATCGACAATGAAGAGCTTGCGGAAGTCCCACCAGACGTCAATGCCGCTGTCCGTCCTGCTGTAGATGGTCCACCAGAGGCCACGAGTACCTCTCCAAGCAGCGAGGAAGACATTGAGAAGGCACGCGAGTTCCGTGCGAAGGGCCTCAAAGGCGATGGTATGGGTCTTATCCTATGTTGTGTATGCTCGCATGCTTATTGCATTTGTACGTCATTTTGCACCAGTCGACCTCGCGTCTATTGCGCGCACGTCCGCGGGTGCAAGTGCCAGCCCACCAAAGGCTCCTTCTCTCGAAGTCACTCGCGATGCTGATGTACGTCATATGACCACTCCTCGCTTCTCCAAACGTGATTTCACAACCTCTCTATCTTCCAGACCAACGCCATTCCTTGATTTATCCTTATTAACTATCGAGCCGATTTGCTGGTAAAGAGAAAGATTGGACAAGCTGAAGTAATTGAAGTGTATTTTGTACCCCGTAGTCGCTGCCGAATTGAATTTGAAGTCCGCTTTCGAACATGCTTTTTGTTTGTGCATGGGCACAAATTCTTTTTTATTTTTATTTCTTTTGAATAACAGGTAAAGAGGGTCTTTCAAGTAACCTCCACCTTCGTCATCTGTGCATATGTAGGACGCTCGTTCACTGCAAACTCATCAACCTCCACCCATTCCGTTTCGTCCAGACCCGCCGAGCCGGTCTCGTCAAATTCGCAATCCGCGCCCATTGCGTCCGAATCGCTGTCGATGCATGTTCCCATGAACGAGAATTCGTCTGCTTCATCAATTAGCGACTCCGCTTCGAATTCGTTAATGTTGAAGTTGTTGTCGTCAGATGAACGCGAGATGGTCGTTGCTGCTTCTGCTAACGAGAGACTGATTGCTTGAGCGAGCTGAAGGTCATAAGATTCTGATAGTTCTGGAAATGTCTTATCATCATTGTCTATTGGAGATTGGGGGCCATCCGGGTTTACTCTTGAGCCTTTTCAAATCATCGTGTTTATTATTAATGCTCTCACCTCCTGCAGCCCGCATATACCATTCATTTTCGTCTCCGAAGACGCTCTCATGCTCGTCATTCGCCTCATATGCACAATCAAAATCGGATTCGGAGTCGCAGAAATCGAGCGCGAGCGGACCACTCTTCCACACAAGTCGGTCCCCTTTACCCCCGACGTTCCGACCAAGGTGCGTAGCTCGTCCAGCGGCCGTTCCGTATCCCTTTGATGTCTTCCATGGTTTGGGGTAAACATGTTCCTTGCCTTTGCGGTGGTCATGCTTTAAAATCCGAAAAGAAATAAGTATCTGAGTTAATCTACGTATGTGGAAGAATCGGGGCGAACTCTAATTAGAACCTTCTGCTGCCCCTTATATGCCCCTCGTTCAGTTTTGTAGTCTTTAGCGTGCAATGCCATGCTTCCTTCCGTCCTGAGATTAAAGTCCGTTGAATGAATAAGAATAAAGATGTGTGAGGATGTGTGCGAGAGCAGCGAGACAGAAAGCTAGATAGCTCGATTCCTAAGCCTAAAGCTTTGGATGATGAGGAAAACCTCCTTGATTAGAAGAATATATATAGTAACGTTGAGAGAGAGGAATCGAGTCATCTTGTTCAGCTCGGCAGCGCATGACGCGCGAAGAGTCAAGACCAACGAGCCGCCCTGTAAGTGTACCGGATAGAATTCGAGTCATCCGATGCTGGAACTGTGCACTGCTTCTCGGGACTGTGGAGGTTCCTTATATTTCGGTACCAGAGTGGACCTGATCGTGTATTATCCTTGAATATGGACTTTGGAAGGTAAAAGGCTGAAAACAGCAAGCTGTATTGTACACTTGAAGCAAAGATGCATAAGTGTAGATATCTATGTAGTATATTGGTTGAGTATGTTTCACTAGTTTTCAGAAGAATTCATAAGCCAAGGAACAGATTTAATAGTATAATGCTGAGTTAGTTCACCACTAGCACAAGACAGCAACCTTCAAAAAAATCGACATAAGAGGACAAAGGCGGGCTCCGACATGTTGAAGTCTCGGAAATGTGGCAAAGCAATCCAGCTAGTACACAATGTAACTCAATTAAGTTAAATGCGTGGGAACCAGTGCAATAGTTGATTCCATATCCTTAACGATAGTAATAAGCAAATTCAAGAGCAGATTGTTGCAGCACTTTGGTAATACTGATAAGACGTTTCCATGGACCTGGTTCTAGGGCAGCAAAGTGTTTGCGTCTAACGCAACAGTTGCCAACTTGCTATGTGTTTGTCCAGCCGTGCAAGCAGGCACACGCCAGACTGTTGCTAAATTTGTGAGCAAAAGTGGCACAGTGGTGAATCAACTAGTAGGTGTCTTCAATTCATTGGCAGGGAGACTTGCAGAAGCAGTTTCAGCAACCCAGAATGAGATGCTGCAAGTAGTGCAAGTCCCTCAAAATTGAGGAGGTGACTTGCAAGGATCTACAATCAATTAGTTAATCATATTTGTAATGTAATTAGGTACATCTTCTAATCTTAAAAAGGTAATTTAAATATGCAGAGTGAGACATGAGGTGAAGTTATACAAAAAAAATGAGAATTGTGCCCTCCCTCCTTCTCAGATGTCTAAGATAGGGCTAAATAACCTTCAGAATAATCCTTAGTATTCAACTCAACCACAGACACTAGTAACAAACTTACAAGGCATGTAAATGCATGCATACAACCAGCTGACTCCTTTACATATTTAGCTTCATGTAAGCCTACCCTATAGCTTATAATAGCTTCTGTACTGTTTCATACCTCTCCTGATACAGAATCACATTTCTGAACTCAGACCTTCTTCCAAGCCTAGACCTCCTTAGTGTGGACCCTAGAGTTACACACATTTCCTCTTTTGTCTTTACACTATGTTTCCTTATTGTCTAAGTCACATACTCTTTATTCTTAAGTGTATACACTCTCCTTTTTCTCTTTAGTATTGTTTTCCCCTTTAGGCATGAGCCACCTTTGTTTTATTTCTAGTATATATAGTTTCAATCTTTTACCTTTGTTGTACCAGTTCTTATTCCTGACTGTAATAAAGGTGAGTTCTTACATGTACATAGACAAGTTCTTATTCCTGACTGTAACAAAGATACTTTTGTCCTGTTAGTGTTCTGTGTGTGTTAGCAAACCCAGAACTTAACAGAACTTGTTTGTAACAGTGTTTAGCACTTCCCTAGTACTGTTCTACTTTACCCAACATTCTTGACTTTTAACACACCTAGTCTAAGCCTAAATTCTCCTACACTTAATACAGAGTTTCTAGAGAATGTTACAAGCTTTATAGTATTAAACTAGACTCTAGTTTAGTAGCCCTAATTGTTCTAAGAGTAGAATTCAGCTCACCTTTCATCTCTAGCTCTATAGTCTACTTAAAGCCTCTCTCTAGTACTAGAGAAGTTAAAATCTAAAGGAAAGGTAAAGGAGAAAGCTGTACTAAAAAAGACAGGAAAAGGTACATACTATTTCTCTTTACATTACTTTTTATACATTAGGCTTCCTTTTTAGTATATTTTTGAAAGAGTATACTTACTGTTTTCAAGAGTTACAATCTGGAAAGAATACACATACTTCTAGTACTTTAGATATAGAAATTAGTAACTTAACTTAAAAGATAAAAGATAAAACTAAGGTATTTAATATGAAAGAGATAAAGGGAAAGGCTTTATAGAATAAGGAGAATAAGAAGAAGCTTACTGAATTCATTTGTACACTAGAGTAATAGTTAAAAGTGTAGACATCTGTTAGTAGGATTTGTTAAGAGGTAAATACTCACCTCTCTATGTTACTTTTTATGTACTAGACTTTTACAACTTTGTCTCTAAGCTTTCTAAACAATCTTAAAGGAATATATAACTGAGCAAGTTACTACAAAGTAGTATTCTATGTTTAGAATGTATAAGGACACAAAAAGTAAGTATAACACTTATTATATAAGACTGTATAACTTACCTAGACTAGAACTACTAAACAGAATAGTTAAACTATACTAGAGGAGAAAATAGGAACAGTAACATACTAGGAATACACACCTTTATTATAATCTGTACCAAATTTACTAAAGGACTAATATTTACTATTATTAATTGTGTATAAGTCTTGTATACTTTTAAGCTTGTTTAATTCCTAAGTTAATACATAAGTTTCTCTATTTTAAAGTGTAGAAGGCTGTCCTAATATTAAGAGGCTTATAGAATTTAGTTCAGAATGTAGCTTTAAGAATATTGAAGCAAATGTTAAGAAGGACAAGAAGAAACATAAGAAAACAGATTCTACTACTAAATTTACTAAAGTTGTTAGTAAGGTCTTTACACAGGAATGTTAGGAAAAGATGGCTAAGCTAGAAACTGAGTGTTTTGTATACTAGAAGTAAAAGGATAAGAAAGACAAAGAATACTAGTATAAAAGAATATAGTCTAAAGATTAAACTATAAAGATACAGATACTATACAACTTAGAAGACTTGTAAAACCTTAAACTTAATAGGTACTGTGTGTTACAAGATTCAGAAGACTTTATAGAGAAAGAAATAGCTACTAACTTTTAGAATAAACTCTGTAAAATAAGTTAGAGAATCTGAGAGCTTTACTAGAGTAGAAAGTAGTAGAAGTAGTATAGTATATTCTAGTAATTTAATACTTTCCTCACAATTGTTATACAAATACTTGTTTAGACAGATTAGTAAAGAAGTATAACATAATATAATTACCTCTTTAATATCCTCAATTTGGCTAGTTTAGTAAAATTGTTCTATTAGAGTACTTACTAACTTATTTAGATTACTAGTTAATAATTATAACTCTCTAGACAAAGTATTAGAGTAGTAGAATATAGTATAATTAACTCCTTAATATTAGTACTCTTGAACTCTTGTAACAATAATGTGTTTACAAGGTCTTGTAATAATTCTAATTGTTTAAGTGTGTTCTTATAAATAAGTATAAGAGTATTATAATATAGTAAAATTAATTTATTAAGCTTATTATTACTTATAATACCTAATTATTTCTACTATTCATATGTACAAGTAAGTTCTTTCTACATTGTAAACCTGTATAATAGAGATTAGTACTAACTATTTAATTAATATTTCTTACCTGTTCTGTTACTATTTTGTCTAGTTTAGCTCTAACTGTAAGAAAGAGGTCTGTATTATTATAATATTATAGTTTGTAATTATAGTAGAGTTGTTGTTTAAGTTAATTAGTATATTATGAATAACTATTAAAGTCTTAATTGTTATGTAAATTATATTAAGTTTATGTTTAGAAAAGCTCTAAAGGAATGTAAAACAATATGTTATAGTTCTCTACTTTTGTACCTTTAGTTCTAAGGGTTCTACACCCTTCTGTACCAGAACTTAGAACTTCTGTCCTTTAAGAGTACTGTTTATAAACTATATATATACTAACTCTTACTACTACCCCTTCTTACTTTATTATTCTGTTTCTTTAACTACTCTTTCATTCTTTGTTTATTCTATAGTCTTCTACCCTTTGTTTATCTCTTTATTCTTTATACCTTTATCTTTAACCTTCCTTTCTTTTATTCTTTATAACTTATTATTCTTAGTAGCTTATACTCTCTAAGTACTCTTATATAGTTTAGTATATATAAGTATATAAGATCAGACTAGTTCTATAGTCTTAATCTTATTTACTCTAAATAGTTTTATACTTTTAGACTTACTCTATATACTCTACTCTTGTCTTACTCTCTCTCTCTTTCTGTTCTACAAGTTCTGACTATATTCTAATACTTACATTCTGTATTTCTATTATATAGAATAGTTATAGTCTGAGTTCTCTTACTAAACCTTTAGGTCCCCTCTATACTGTTACTAACATTAGATTAAGACTACTTATTACTACTCTACAACTCTTCTACATTTTAGACATTAGTACTTACTATTGTATTAATCTCTTTTCTTTGTTCTAACCTTTTTACATTTTTAAATTTTAAACTTTCTAAACTCTTTTAAACTTTAACTACCCTTCTTCTATTTATTACCCTTTTTAGTTTAGTACTAATTCCTTTATAGTGTAAACATAGACTCTCTTACACTAACTACTACCTCTACTGTTCTACTAGATTAGTAGTTACAAGTAGACCTAACTTAATATGTATAAACCTTTATTTAAAAGGCTTTTGTCAACTATATACTTTTAACCCTCTCAGAACTGTTACAGTTCTCTACTCTTATACTTTTAGTTTTAAGGGTTTTACACCCTTCTATACTAGAACTTAGAACTTCTGTCTTTTAGAAGTACTGTTTATAAACTATATATATACTAACTCTTACTACTACCCCTCCTTACTCTATTATTCTGTTTCTTTGACTACTCTTTCATTCTTTGTTTATTCTATAGTCTCTTACTCTTTGTCTATCCCTTTATTCTTTA